CACTCACACTCACACTCCTCACACTCACACCCACTAACTCTCCCACTCGGAAACTCTCACTCACACTCGCACTCACACGCACACTCACTCATCTACACTCACTCTCACACTCACTCTCACTCTCACTCACACTCGCACTCACACTCACTCACGCTCACACGGGCGGCTGATGACCGTCTTAGAGACGGGCAGATGGGCGCTGCGGGACACCGAGCACGGCTCTAATCGGTGGAAAATAAGCCGGCATGCTGTTTCAGTATTAGGGAAAGACTGACTCCGTTCCAGCAAACAAACACTGGCTCCGGTTTTGGGCAATAAATTGGTTCGGTTTTTGAGGATGCGGTGTTGATGGCGCTCGAAGACAAGAACGTGCACTGAGCAGCGTGCCTCTTAGTGTTATATAAGTGGACAAAAAATGACTTTTCAGTTCATAGCACCCTGCTGCTCAGGTGGCGTGGATACTGAGTGCAGCTGGTGTGGTCGAACAGTTGATGACGCAGACCATGCACGAAGATGTGTGGACCTTATGCTGCCAGGCATGTGTCCGAAGGCGCCTGGAATCCTAGACGAGTTGCAGAGTCAAAGCGAACATAGTCATGGCCCTAAGGCGAACTGCGACCCGTGAAGTGCAGATTTTGTGCTCAGCTGCTTGTAGTTGCAACTCGCGAACAGCATGAGCGAAGTTGCTTGGAAAGGATGCTTCCAGCAGCTTGGAGCTGCACAAAACTTTTTGAGTTGAAGTTCAAGTTTTGGATTGACTGTGTTTTGTTGCGTTTGTGGATTTGCTATAGGTGAGCCAACTGACAGCCGAGAAGCAGTTAGGGACAAGATGCAACCAGTTAATATGGTACCAAGGATATGCCGTCGGACGACCATAGTAGTATGAGAAGGCGAAAGGCCAGCCGCTCGAGGCAGCACTCGAGGGACTCTAGATCAAGTAGCGTTGGCAGCGTCGGCAGCGTCGAGTCGAGCCTTGAGTTTTGCACGAACAGATCCAGTTTGCCACGAACGGCTGTGCTTGACTTGCGAGCACGCGCCCAAAGGCATCATCAAGAGGTGCACTCTGCGACAAAAGAGGCCATGGCTTCTGAAGAGGATGATTGTATGGTACCAGTTGTGAGCGCTTTGGACACTGATTTCACAAGCTTGGCCCAAGAGTTGCGTGGAATGGCCTTGGGGAGTGCTTCAGCGGCTTTGCTGGCACAACTGGAAGCTTTCCCAACAGAGTTGCCTCTTGATCAACTCATTGACCTACAGCGCCGCCACAGCGTTCTTGGGAGCATCCTTCGGCTTGAAGACGCCCGTGCAAAGGATACAGAGGCAGCAAGGGAATCAACGGAGAACTCGTGGAAGGCCGCTTCGGGGGCCCTCAGCTGGTCAGTGCCAGACGCTGATGGCCGCAGTGATGGTCCTTCAACCCCTCGTGCGCCCTCAGGATGGCCTTCGGACTGCACATTGTCATCCTCAGCTGCGACTATTCGAAGAAATCGCCCAAACCTACCACCCTTAGGAGTGCCCCAAAGCCTTCAAGACAAGACGATGAACCTCGCGAGAAGCGACAGCAGAGCCAGCAGAGGTAGCAGAGCGAGCAGCAGAGGGAGCAGAGTGAGCAGAGCAAGCTCTAGAGCTCGAAGCAGTGATCAGATGAGGAAGCGTTCCAGCAGTGTCAGATCGCTGAGATCGGCCCAAAGTGCCAGCAGCGTTCGCATACAGTCAGCAACGGCAGTGAGAGCACATCCTGGTCCTGCAGCTGTTGGGCTTCGTGAGATGTCAGTAGAAGAAATGAAGGCAGAGATTCAAGAGGAGCGGAAGCAGTACATCGCTGAGCGGCTTTGACGACTGCATTCATGCAGTTTCCCTGAGGCATTTGTTGAAAAGCAACAGGCTCCAGATTTGGCCAAAAACCCTGGCCAGAGATTCATGGAGCTGTGCCTCTGGGAAATGATGGGCAATCTAAAGCGCATCAGCCTACGCTGGACAGATTCGATCCAGAGGGAAACAGCCGCCTTAGAACTGTCATGTTGTCAAAGTTGTCGATTGTTTGAGGTCATGTGTCGGGATCTTAGATTATGTTTTCCCACCGCCCTTTGGCTGTTCTTCTTTTTATATATGATATGTTGATATATGTTGTGTTTGCAGTATGTCCCGAAAAACTTCTACAATACTGGCGGATAGAGAGTGTGAGATCGCAGGTGAGACCAGCTGTAGTTGTTGGGCATGTTGGCTCCCCTGTGTTCAAATTCATCAGTCAATCAATGAAATATATAGAAATTCCTTTGAGTGTGACACTGACTGCCTGCCTTACCTCTGTGGAACCGGCAGGTGTTCATATTAAATTTGTGAGTGTTTTGCAGCTGGAGGCCAGTTTATAGATCTTGACATAACTTGAACTATCCCCGTGCAAATGTCTTTTGCAAAATCAACCATCCTGGGTAACAAAAAGAGCTTCGATTTTGTAAAAAAACAGGTTCATTTCCAGGTACCCATTTTTTGGGGGGGGTGGGGTGATTGATTTTGTAAGGCCAGCATTCTTTCTTGGGGCTGTTGATTTTGTAAAGAATCGATATGTTGGTATGGATGTCAAAAGTGCCGCATTGGTGAGGGTGGGGTCCTTGATTTTATGCAAGTTTGAGGGTGGGGTGGTTGTCCAGTAGAAAAGCCCCAAACAGTATTACAGAATCAGATTTCTCAAGCCATTAAAAGCGGAAAAATCTTGACACAATCAAAAATCCCTGCGTTCGAGCGTCTGGTGCCAATTGAGTTTGGATGAGGCCTTGCGGCAATTAAGGGCATTCTTAAGTCTTAATCCATGGACTGTCAGCTCCTTTTCCGTGCCTTAGTCATATAGAAGTTTGTTTAAAGGGCAAAGAAAGAAAGAGACAAAGAAGATAAAGTATAAATCTTTCCGTAAAACAACGACATGTCGCCCATGCCGCAGGAACAACGCCAATCTCCAGAGAGAATGCCACACTGACGGTCCATTGTCCACAGTAAATGCATTGCGCAAGGTCACATACTTGGAGATAGGTGCGGAAGATTCCTTGGGTGCTGATTCATCTACTGCACTGGCTGCTGCCACCTCAATGATACTGGATGCATCAGGGAGCGGCTCCAGAAGCAACTCCTCCGAGTCAAAGACCTTTGCATGACCATCCTGAAGGGGAATTGAAAGGTCTGCGCTCGTTGCGCCATCCTGTTGAATGTTTCTCAGCAAGTCCTTGCATTCCTTGCCATTGTTGCTTCGGTTTCTTCCATCATGCCCATTTCATCATCTTCAGCTTCAGCAGGGTGTGCCTGAAGAGATTGCCAATCAAACTCCATTCCTCCATCACTGCAGTATTTTTGGTACATCTCCTCCAGCTTGGCCACATCCAAACAAGAAGAGAAAGCAGCCAGCCGCAAAGCAGCCTTGTATCCATGTTCGCAACACTCACAGAATTCATCTGGAGTCAAGGGAGACAATTTCTGGACGGAATACTTTTCTGGCTTATTGGCTGCCTGTTGTCGCCGCGCTTCCCCAACATGGCCCGCCAACATCCTCTTGCGTATGCTTGTGTGCGAAGCCGACCAAAAAAACTCTTCAATAGAGATCTCACTGACACGGTTTGCCGAACGCCAGTAGTCTCTTGGATATTGTTGGCCTTCGAGGTACGATGGGGTAGGTTCGTGTAAGTGATCCGTGGGACACTGCGAGAACGTGGAAAAAAGGGATCGTATCGACTTGACGAATCTGACGTTGCACCATTACAAAATCGTTAGCTTTTCTGATCCAGGTCTGAGAAATCAGAATGTGTATCCTTTTTGAGACCTCAGGGGGGTTGATTTTGTAATTGCAATATCGGCTGGAGAGCTGTCCCTTACCCGCGTCCTGGGGGGCTTGATTTTGTAAAGCTTTTCAGATTGGCGAACCTGGGGCGCTTGATTCTGTGGCACATTTTCCTTAAAGAATCAACCACCCCTAGATACTCCAGAAATTCGAAGAAGGATCTTGAACTGTTGGGCATTGGGTGGCTTCTACATCCAGAGAGGTTGCTCGCAGCTGCCTCATCTAGAGGTCATGCAATCAGACCAACCTGATACTCGTACAAGGAAGGCTTGCACATTGGGCCCAAGAAACAAGTCAGGAAAGACTCGCTGAACAAAACATGACTCAGTAACATTAGTTGCACGCATCCAGAGCTCAGGCTTGAGTCAAGCTGGCCTAGGTTTACGCCAGAGAGGAGCATGGGTAGGGCCCTTTGGGGATTTTGGGCCCCAGCACAGCTTGCATTACATAATGTTTTGCCAACTCATGCCAGCGCCTCTTACTGTAATTACTCCTGACATCTCCTGACCCGAAATCATGCCAGGTGGGGAAAAAGGGACCAAGACCGTCTCGTTAAGACGGTCATGTTGTTTTTTTGTCCAGTTTCCTTCCAACTTCGGGTTCACATCATTTGCCGGCTTTCACTCGTAGAGGTTCGCTGGGTGCTTGTCTATTTGTGTCCTTGCGTTCGCTTTGCTCAAGTGAAGGCGAGCGCTGATAGCGCTTTGAGAAACCAGGCCCCCTCAACCAACATAGCAATTTAATGCAATTTAGCAATGTAATATTGTAATGGATGTTGTTTGGGTGTGGGGTTAACTCAGACGTGTCAAGGCAGAGAGGGAGATTCACGAGACTGTCAGTTTTGTTGAGACGGAGACTTAGACTTGTGCGGCCTTTGCGCTCTTATAAAAAAGAATACATTTTACAGGCACATGTAGCGCTTAGCCTCAGACTGAAACATGGTCTGTCTTTCTTTGTTCCTTTTGTGTTGCCTTTTATTCTTTTTGTCGGCTGTACAGGCGGTAGGGGTGCCCGTTTGGCATTTGCATGTTCTCCATGTGGCAAGGACAAACTGGAGGTTTTGCATGAGGTGTGAGGCGGATGTTGTTCCTAGTTAGGCTGATTTAAAGCTGCGTTGTTCTGCATGTTTGCGCAGAAAACGTTGAAGGTTCATTTGCCGCCGTTGCCATCTGACAGATATCAAGGTGTGAGGCACTTTGTGTCAAGTGGGTTGTTTTGGAAGGAGCTCAGGAGCTCCGGTCACGCCATGGAGGGAGTTCCATCCGACGTCTTGGAAAACTTCAAGCGTTTCGATACCGACCAGTCAGGATCCATCTCCCGAGATGAGCTGACATCCGTCGCACATGCTTTGTAACAAAACCTTTTTGGAGGTTGATGTCCTTCCTGTTGACAACTGAGACTCAAAGAAATCGCACTGTGTTTCTTATCCTTGTTTTGCGGGACTCCTAGAAAGATGTTCATCACCTAGGTGATGCAAGCCTTGCAAGCGGATTGGACGGAAGAATCCACAGATGAATTGCTGTGTCGGATTGATGTGGCTTGACTTGCTGGAATAGATTGGAAACAAGCAAAGCTAATGTGCAAGCACATATGAGAAAGAGATCGCCTAAAGGAAAAAAGAACAGGAAGAATGGTTCAAGTCATTACGAGGAGTCTTGAAAAGTAGCGGTATATAAATATATATGTACATATATATGTATACTTCTATATTTTTGGATGTCGTAGAAAAACGGACCCTATTTAAAAATAACAGTCATGTCGGAAACCCCTAAATACGGTTTATATTTGCTTTTTAGATTACCGCCCTTTCAAACCGCTGCTAAACTACCAACATTGCCGAATTTTGGGGAGTTGTTGTTATTAGGTTCCCAAAAAACTCCCTCAAAATAGGTTCCCGAACGCAATCCCTCCACCGCGGCCTCCCTCTTTGCGTTTTGTTTCTCTCGCGGGCAGTCTGACCTGTCTCCGGCAGGCAGGTTGATATCCTCGTGCCCCAATCACACCATTATTTTCTTGACATATACATACTGTAGTACTATATACATATAAATATGCGAACAAGGGACGTTAAAGGATATCAACCTGCCCGCCGGCTAGCTGCCTTTGTGGCTTTTTTGCGCCTCACTGCGGGAAAGGAGTTGGCGTTGGCCGGTTTCGGGACCTTGGACCACCTATTAACAAGAACTGCTAGCTGGTTTCCCTTATCAGGCGGTACTTCGTTGGCCTCCTGGTTGATTAGGTCTGTGATAAAGAATATATATATATATATAAATATGTAGCAGCATGCTTTGAGAAGAGCATGTTCATTGGAAAGGGGAATCCCTCTATGTTGCAGGGTTTTTGCATTTTTAGTAAGTGTTTTACTACGGGTTTGATACAGACTTGTTCAGTGAAGAATAATGAATCCAGGAGTGTGTCTAACACATTGGGGCCACCTATTAATAAGAACTGAACTGCTGGCTGGTTTCTTGTGTTGGGTGGAGCAAGTGTTATTTCTTCATTCCCTGCCACCTCCGTTGCCGCAGTGGAGAGCTTGCTTCAGTGACACCTTGGTCTAGCAGCACAGCGCCACCCACGACCATGGAACACCCGCGACGATGCAGCGCTGCCGCAGCTCACGGGCCACCACGCCCAGCCAAGCGCTGCACCCCTCTCTGCCTGCTCACGGTGGCGCTTCATGTCCTCCGGCATGCATGCCTGGCTGTCCTCAGCTCAGCTGGGCAGATGCGGCACATCCTTCCCCCGTTTCACATGAAAAAAAACTCATCAAAAGAAAAGCTCCTGCGCTCATTCATGACATACGTATGTCTGCTGAGCATCTTGGCGTCGCTCAGCACAGCTGATCTTCTTTCCGATCACATGCAATTCGTCACGCACATCCTGGGATTTCGCAATCACCACGTTGGAACATGGTCCTGTGCAATTAGTAGTTATAAGTTAAGGACATTATTTGGTACTGGTGGGTTGCTCCATGTTTTGAAAGCCTCCCTTGCCCCCAATGATTGCCGTCTGGGTGCAGCAAGCTCCTGGAGGACACTCTGGTGCCCGCGCTCTCTGACTCTGCCATCTGTGCACTGGTAGTACTCGCTCACACGCTCACTATCTCACACTCGGGCCAAACGCAACTCTTTGTCAAAAGCCATGTTCGTTTTTCCCTCATGGTACTTGTTCAGTACCGGCTGATTCCTGACCGAAACCAGGATAAAAGTTGGATCCTCCCACTGACCCTATTTTGGACCACCCCAATTTCCGGGACCCCCTATAAAAAGAATGCGACCGAGGTTTCCTTATTAGGGGGGGTGGGGTGTTTAATAGGTGGACCGGATTAGCGTGGTCCAGAGTCACCAGATGTTGTTTGCCACTTGGACATGTTCTTGTCCAGGTCAGTTTGGATGGCCAGCTCCAAGTGGAAGAATTCTTGCAGTGGGTGTTTGCTATCAACAAGGCTGAAGATGAGGGCGCAGATAGCCTTCCACTTCCCGACATGCAGGAACAGACCTTGATACTTGCAGGTTGCTCACGTGAGAACTTCAATGGAGAGTATGTGAAGGAGTCTGGGACTTTGCACAACGGCCGGCCAGTCTTTTACTGTGCCAAGAATGCAAAGTATCTCTTTTACAACAGCAAGAGACAGCAGTGGCAGGCGAGGAGGTCAATGCTGTTGTGTTGTTCCTTGCTTCTGAACTGTCGGGTTGCTTTGTTGATTTCACTTACTTCCCCGCCACCGATTCGCGCCGTTTTTCTCTCCATATGTACATGGTTCTCGCAGGTTTTTCACGACCTGGGCAAGTTGACCTCGCTCTGCTTGAAGACGCAGCAGGGTCCTCAAACCGCAGCAACCTGGAACGTTTGGGATCGCAAAAAGAAGGCCGGACACGACTTGGAACCGATGAGGCAATTCAAGCATTTCTGGAAGACCACCAAAAGAACGGTTGTTTCACAAATTGCTGTAGATTGAAATGATTGAAGATGGTTTAATTCAACCCTTGAGGCCTTTAAACCTGAACCGGACGTGAGCTGCACGGTGAAAGAGCCACCGTCTCCCGAAGAGCTTTGTGCTTCTGCACCTCCGATTGTTCATCAGCCCATGGGCGGACAAAACGGCTACGGTCTGGGACTCTTCCGGAAGACCGACGAGATCTTCAACGGTCGCCCTGTCTACGTGCGAACTGAGCTCCCTTCGCAGAAAAAGACCTATTTGTTCTATCAAGAAGCCCAAGTTGCATACAACTCAGAGAAGAAAGCGTATCTTCCAAACGGTGCCCAAGTCGCACATGGCAGACATGGCATAGACTCTCTTCAAACGAGAAGAAATGTGCAGATGTTGGGCCAGCAAAAGGCGAACAGGAGATTTTGATGCTGATGGGATGGAGTGGAGGGAGAGACAGAGAGAGAGGGAGAGAGAGAGAGTCCCACACTGTTCGTTGTGAACTCTTCGGAGAGTCCCACTGAGAAAGGGCAAAGGGTTGAGTTGATTAATGTTATTTAAGCAGGCTAACGCCTGGCAGCCGCCGACCCCCAGGAAAGTGGATGGCCTAGGTTGAATGGGTTAAGAGTTTTTTTCGAAAAATCGGGGAACCCAAAAAACAACACAGAACCCCTAGAGACATGATCTGTCACGTCACTGCATCACCAAAGTAGGCAGAAGAGAGCACGGCAAATGGGTTAGCATTTTTCTTTGAAAATCTGGGAACCCAAAATGAGTAGATCTTACAAAAACCTTTGAAAATCCTAGAAATCCAGCGGAAAACGTTACAAAATCTAGGAAAAACCAAGGGCATTGGCAGGGACCAGGCCGCGACCAGCCCGGGATTCGAGCCCGGGACCATTTAGGGACCGTGCTTATTTTCCCGCGCGGGTGGAGAGGGTGCCCCAAGATGTAAATCAATTGGGATGGAGAAATCTTGGACAATTCTTTGCTAATTCTTGGACAATTTTTGGCTATTTTTCGTCACTCCAACAAGGCTCCGGAGGGGTAGGGGTGGTATAGCCTTAATCATAGCCTTAGCCGCAGCCTTAATCATAGCCTTAGCCTTAATCAACAGTCACGCCTGACCCCACGAGTGGGGTCGGCGGACTACTAGCTTCTAGCTACTTGTAGCGATGCCAGGAGCCCCTAGTAGCGTAGTAGTTAGACTAAGATTTTGTCCTAGTGATGCCGTCCGATGTGCGATTTTGTCATCCGCCCTTTGCCTGCTTTGCGATGCTTTGCGCCTCTTGCGCTTGCCCTGGCTGAGGCGACAAGAATAAGATGAAGCGATGGAAGAAGAGCCCGGCTCTCTCAGAACAGGCCTATTGCTTCAACCTCAGTGAGAAGACCGAAAGCTATTCTCCGCATGAAGCCAAATGGGTCTCAGGAGGCAAGACCGCTGCCGGGCCCGTATTGCTATGGTCGATAAAGGGCTAGACATTTAGTGGCTCAGCTTGTCTCAGGTGTTCGTTTGTCCATCCTGTAGCGATGCACTTGTTACTAGTAGCTTCTTGTTCCTAGTATCGATGCCAGGAGCCCCTAGTAGCGTCCTTGCTCCTAAAGTCCTAAATAGACATCCTACCCTACCCTCAAAAGGAGCACATATAGAAAGAGCAGGACAGGCTCAGATTTCAAAGGATTTGTCAACTCCTTCCTGAGCAACCTGACTACCAAAACAAGACACAACACGTTATGCATGTGTTGGCGTTTGATGTGCTACAATGCTCCACCGCCCCGTCCGTCCCAGCCGTCCCGCCACTCGGAGGCAAAGTCTTGAAGTGGTTCACGCCAGATCCCGCTGACTGTCCTGAGCGAGTCTGGAAAAAGGCGAGCGCCGAAGATTTGGAACCAGTCCCAGAGGGCTGGAGCCTTTGGTAGCATAAATGACAGAAAGCATGCGGTTACCGTATGTATATTATGTATATATGTGTGTATGTATTAGGAGCCCACAATATGTTCTCTCTTACTTTAGTCATGTTTTCTCGTGGACTAGCTTAGGAAAAATACTACATGCAAGCAGAAAGGCGTAGCATCAGGTCCAAACGGCTCCTGGATTGGTAGAAAAAATCCAGAAGGGGGGGCGTTTAGGCCTTGAGAACGGATTTCGGCCTTCTGAAGATGTCCTTTGTCCTTTGTTCTTTTGCATCACAAGACGCACGCGACATGCGACCGTTCATATTGCCTGTATAGAGACGCCACTACTGTCAGTTTCACGTGCTGTTTCCATCCGTCCTTTTTCTCCCCCCATGTTTCATCATTTTTCCACAAACACCCCCTAGGTTCTTTGCAGAAAGGCGCTAGCATGCTTGACATAGCCATACATGGCATTCTATGCATGTCTTTACATGACTACTATGTAGCACAAAGAGCAACACTGAGCAACATGGCACACGTTGGAGCGACCTGCATTGGCCTTGGCCTAGATTAGTTCGGCTCAGCTGTGAGACGCCATGAGACAGCTAGACTCTGCACAGAGAGAGAGAGAGATGGCCACACACACACATGGGACGTGTGATACGGCACCGGGTAGCATGGCAACTTACACATAGCATAGGATTGTGCAGCGCATTGCACCACACAGCATTGAAAGGCGTACTTGCGACCGAAACCCCTACCCAGGTGGTGCTGAGGGCAGGACGCACGAACCTTTGTGGAAAGAAATGTCTCTCCGCACAGATCGCGCACCTTGAGCGCCCGACCGCCCGACGTTTGCAAGTTTGCGCCTCGCGTGCTAACGCCAAACTTTTCACTGCACTACGCCGCTGCTGGGAGTGAAGCCGCGCACAGGGCACAGGCAGATTTGTACCACACACTCTGCCACTTCGTGATCTTTGTGTTGCATGCTTGTGACGCTCAGGAGGCGAACACGTTTCTCGTTGTGTTTCATTTCGGGACAGCACAAGACTAATGAGTCTAATCATTACATAATCAATGTATAGGGGATTTGAATTTCCTCTACAAAATCGCGGGGGTACAGCGATTTTTATTATATTATTTTCTTGGTTAACATGGAGGCTTGTAAGTAGCAACGTGGAAGTTTCTCGATTTGATAGAAAATACATATATAGTTGTTTTTGTTCAAGATTGATTCTTTGCAGGTGTTGTAGTGAGTGATGATGATGTGGATCTTGGTACCTCAAACATGCTGATATACAGTATAGATAATTGTGAGCATTATTTTGCATGTCGGGGACTGCAATTCAACGGCTGGGGGACGACCTTTGGACGCTATAAAAGCACAGTTCCTTACCTGTCCATGACGACCTTTTTTTCACTATAAATTTGGGGTCAGGTGAATCAATGCCTTCCTGGACAGGGGCATTTTTATGTTTGGCTCCAGTACCCCGTACCCTAATTCTATAGAGACTCATTTTCTTACTCCTATATATTGAAAGGACCTGATCGGCAGCACCTCAGGACCAGCCATTTATAGAGCAACATCTTCAATGTTCACAGCGTTTTGCAGACTCATGACCCTGAATTCCAAAGAGCTGACTCCTTGTTTCTAGACTCTTTTCCTATATTTATCGCAAGTTTATAGGGTCAAAAAGTGATTTTTTGAGGGAGGCTGGTCCCAGCATTTTAGCACTATAAAATCGCTACCCCCCACCTACCCACTTATAGGATATCAATGTAAAGAATGCATGTTTTACGTTTCTCTCCGCCTCTCAGGAAGGATCCGGACTTCCCTCACGACGAGTCATCGCTCTACAACCCAAAAAAACATGAATGGCTGAGAGCATTCGAGCTGTCAAAGCACCAGACGGGCACCTTCAAGCCTACCCTCTTCGGTGACGAAGGCGACGAAACTTTTAGGAGATGTAGGACTACTTTGTGGGTGCAAGAGGAGAAGAGTGGCATTAGAGGTGGCTTATGAGTAGCTTATATCATTAAGCCAGTAGTTTCAAGAAAGCTACTACCTACTGGGCCTACTGGGCTAGAACTTGGGTAATCAAGCCAGTAGTTGCAAGAAGGGAGTGCAAACCCGGGAAAGTAAGCGAGCCTTCAAGCCTTCATGAGTTGATGGTGGCTTTGCGCCAGGACCAGAACCTGAAGATGCCATTCAAACAGGCTTATGTAATTGTTGGTTTATGGCAGCAATCTCCACCTTGGCGGACAAGTTCCCAGGCAGGAAGGGACGTCCGATTTCCTCAAGAAATGGTCACCTCAGTTGATCAGTTTGAGTCGCCATCACATGTGATGATTTGTTGCGTCCTTTGGGCAAAGAAAAGGGACAAGCGGCTTTTATGTCACGAAAGGTAGCGGTTACGCTACCTGAGTTTTCCTTTTGCTTTAGCAAAAATGTATTATACCCAGAGCTGGAGCCTATCTCACTGAGAAATGGTCCCCGACATCTTCGTTTGCTGGCCGGGGGGGGCCCCCCCCCCTTTTCAACTCCACCTGGCGCGCCTCGGGGTCAACGGTTCGAAAACACTGTAAATACCAGTGTGTTCAGCTCTTCCAGTCCTCAACAGTGACCAAAAATCATGGAATTTACAGCGTTTTTTGTGGCTGTCCGGCAAAAAAACACCGCAGAAACCGATGGTTTTTGATGCGTCTCGGTTAGAAAAATGACCGAAAAAATACCAAAAACCAGGAAAGATTTTGTCGGAAATGGTTTTTGAGGCTTTTGGAGGCTTCAAAATTGCACAAAACTACGGTATTTACAGGGTTTTGTGCACCTTCCCGGCAGAAAACGCCGGTATTTACACGCGCTTTTCCAGCACACAACCGTGGTGCGCCTCTGGATCGACGGCTACAAAACACCGTAAATACAAGTGTTTTCAGCTCCTCCTGTCTTCAAGTGTCTTCAAGTGTCTTTCAGCTCCTCCTCCTCTTCAGCTCCTCCTGCGGCTGTGGATCGACGGCAACAAAAAGCAGTTCGTTCTCCGCGAAAACATGGCTGATGCGAAAAAGACGTTTGTGCATTAGTTTTTCTTTCATCACGCTCAGTCACTTCTCTTCAAACAAGTGGGGGGCCTCTCACCTCCTCCCGGATTACGCCTGATTCCCTGCTACCTTTCGTTCACCCCCCTCCTCTCTCAAGTTGGCCTGATCTCACCCTAGCAGGGAGGCACATGGATGATAGAATCTGATAGAATTCGAGACAGTTCGAATATCCAGCGTAGCATTATCCAGCCAAGGCACCACTTGGGCCTCGAGGTAGCATACAAAATTGCTCGCCACATTTGTTGCGCTAACTCCTCCTGATTGTGGTACAGTCTACAAATTGCACACATTGCTGCTGCAATGACAAACAGGCCCCGCACATGAAGGAATGCGGTGTGTTTTTGACATGTGTATAGAAAGCTTTAGTCGATGAAGCTGGTGAATCAGACTTGGCTGCAACCGAGTGTTTCAATTTCTGGATGCTTGGGATGGTAGTGCTGGATCACGGGTGCATTTCCTGCTCCAGAGGCCTAGCATTTGGGGATCGACCTTAGCATGGTGTCACCTGTTGAGACGTCATTGGGAGCAATTATATATATATATTTATATTATATATTTTTTTTAATTATATATATATTATATGTTCATATATGTTTGTTACAGTATTTGCTTTGTCAAGTGTGCAATGCCAAGCATTCCATGGAGCCCTTGTGGTAAGTTTTTTTCTTCATTTGCCTTCACATGAACAAACTTTTGTGAACCCAAGCGGGTAAGTCGGGCCATCGCCACAGATTGGCCCATGCGCTCGACGTGAAGCATTCTCAAGGAAGCGACTCCCCTCTCTTATCGCTACCTTTTCCCTATACCCCTGCTTTAACACAGAGATGTTTTTCTGATGGGTCGAAAAAAGCAGTCCAAGGCTTTGACCATTTGACCACCGTGCCCGTCAAACAAGGCATAGCCGTGGGACGCGTAGACTGTGGCAGGCCTCCCGAGCCGTTCAAGAGTTACAACGAATTACCCTATATATTAATATATGTTTCCCACGAGAAGAAGAGCAACACCAGTAGAATTAGAGACCTGTAAAGTGACAAGCGTTTGCTATGAAAAAGCAATACTTTCAAAGCGCAAAATTGAGAATAGCATAAACCACAAGAAGACGTAGAACCAGAAAGAGTTATAAAGAATACAATCAAAAAAGAACAAAAACCAAAACCACCAACAAAAGATGTAAAAATGAACAGCGGAAATACCAAGCTGTAAAGTTGCAAAAAGAATGCGTTGAATTTCCGTGTGTTGCGGAAAGGTATGCTGAAAGGAAACCACTACAAGCGCGCAGAACACAAAAAGGTAGAAAATAGAAAGCAACAGCAGAAAAGATGAACATAACTTAACACAACAGCAAGACAGCAAGAAACAAATGAACGGAAAAAACAATAAACAAAACGAAAAGAATAAAACATAATAGAAGGCAAAAGCAAGTTGAGACCAAGCCGAAGACGATAAAAGATTATCAAAAATGTCACGCCAAAAATATGTTCATATCGAAGGGCAGGCAAAGAGAGGAGTAGAAGAGATAAACACAAAGGATGGGAGAGCAGCCAACAAAAAACGCAGCACCAAACCAAACAAGGATAATGTTAAGATTGCAACCCAGCAACAATGAAGCGAGATTTAGAAATATGTCCCCTAAACTTTGTGGGAACCTGGACAGCACAACACGAAAAGTCTGCTGTGTGCATGCACGCTGGATTGACACGCGCAAGTAGTGGAGGGTTCCAGTTGCTGTGTCATAGGCAGACTTCGTGAAGTATTTCAAACAGCTCTGGGTCTTAATGAACTGTTAAGAGAATTTCATTGTGATGCATAGTGTGATTTGAACGCTTGTGTTGTCTACCTTGTTGCCCTGTGGGTCAAACTGACAAGCCTCATAGATCTCAACAGAAGATAGCCACCTGTTTCTTCGATCCACGCAATGCCGCAAAGAGGAAAGAGAAGAAGCAAATTGAAAAGCAAAGGACAAGAAGACGACGCCAGGAGTTCCAAAGCACGCGCACTTCGCAAAAGCTATGCTATGCTGGCGCCTGACTCATATGAAGAAGGTGTGCCGGTGTGGCTTGGCACGAATGAAAGCAAGAGGAAGTGTTGACTTTGCACAAGGTCATGGCCAATCGCACGCACAAAAACTCGGAGATGCTCAGTCGACCCAACGTTGCCGCAAGCAGACGCTGGAAAAGGCGTTTCTGGGCAAGAGCGGCTCAGCTTCACGGGAGAAGGTTGCAAAAGCAATCAACACATATGTGAAGTATCTCACAAAAAAGGAGAGGATATGGGTCCAGCCTTGGCGCAACTGGTGGGCCATTCTGGCCGCACCTACTTGCTTGGCATGCACCTGCTGGAACAACATGCTCTCTTCACAAAGCTCACAACGTGGGCCAACCATCAGCAATGAAGCCTTGGTTGAAAGAGCCATCAAGTGTGTCAAACTAAAAGAATCCTTGGTCAACATGGTCAAGAAACAAGATTTCCATGAGCAAGAAATACGCGCAAGAGAAGAGTGAAAGAGGAGGGTCACGATCAGAATCTGCAGCGCCCACTTCCAAATCCAGTGGGCAAGCAGGCAGCGCTAGCTCTGAAAAGAGCAAGGCAAGGATGAGGAGCAAGAGTAGAATCGCAAGAAACGCAGCAAGAAAGAAGACAAGCAAAACAAGAAGAAGAAAGAGAGAAGGAAAAGAGAAGCTCTTCGGAGAAGAAGAAGAAGAAGAAGCGCAAGCGAAAGTCCCAAACTCGAAGTACAAGTAAGAGCCGGGACAAGAAGAAAGAAAAGAGAAGCTCTTCAGAGAAGAAGACTCGAAAGCGAAAGTCTAAAAGCCGCAGTGCAAGCCAGCATTCCTCAAGACGAGATTCTTCTGAAGCATTGCAGACGATCCGCCTCCAGAAGCCTTGGCAACATGGTCTGTGATAGAGGCGCAGAACTTGGCAAGTGAGGTGGCTGCTGAGCTGCCAAGTGTGAACAACAAAGCACAGACGCTGAACCTGTCAGCGCTGATTGCTTTGATGGACAACACTCCAGCAGAACCACTTTCATTTGCGAGCTCGAAGACGCTCGGGCAATGCTGGAGTCCATGAGCCGGCTTGAAAAGAAAAGGTGACAGCGCTCCTCACAGAGTTGGCCAACCTAGCCTCCACGCCATGTGGACATGGAGCAGCCAGAACAGCAACCAGGGCCTCCTTGTCCATGAGATTGGGGCCGTAACATCAGAAGGAAAGGCTGCTGTCAAAAGAAAACGCTCCAGTTGGCACGATCGAGGCCGAAAAAGACGACACGATCGCAGACATCGCGCGCAAATTCTTCGCCGCGCCGGGCTCCTCAGAAGACCGTGAGAACTGGAAAGCGAAAGCTTTGACCTACGACCTTCTGCGCGACATCTCTGCAGACACAACGCCAGCTGCGGCATGTCCTGAAATTGCTTTGCTGCGAAAAGGCGGCTAAAAAGATGAGGTTCTCACAAAGATGCGGAAAGGAGCATCTTGTACAGAATTCTGCGACACCGGACAGCGCAGAAAAAGAGAAGTTCTTATAAACTGGAAACCAATAATTGTTTGTATTTGTTTGTGCATATAGGGAGCACATGTGTGTGCGTGCTATGACGAAATCAAAAGTATACATAGCAAAATTGTTTCTGCACCATGTCGCTTCCTGATTAACCCATCGAAAACATACACGCAGTCACGCTGGAAAACACCGCGCGCGAGCCCAAAGCCAGATCAAAAGTAGTATAGGAAGGGCTCCGACAAGCGTAGGCATGTCACCGTCCACAATGGATAGTATAGGCATTGCAGCTTGCTCAGCATTTCTTGGATGTCCCGAGCATAGCTCGTGTTTGCACGACATCACTGCATGACTACAAAAGAGGCTTGGGGCAATGTTGCTCGTCGCATCTGGGTTGCGCGGTGTTGCAGGAACATGGGGCGAGTAATCTGCGCCGCAACGCCTGCTGCCCGTGGCATTTGCTGCGCGCGCGAAAGCGCTATGGATGCCATGCCTTCTGCAAATTGTCGACAGAGATATCGCTTGCCCAGGGATGCCAGAACGAGCTACAATCAAGGTGTGCATATCGACTTGTCCACCCACACGCAGAGCTGCAATCGGACGAAATGGAGTCATGCGTGAAAACACCCCGCGCGCGCACGCCGCACGCCCAAAGCCAGATCAAAAGTAGCAAGAAGGGTTCCAACAAGGATAGCAGCCTTTTTTGGCGTTGCAGCTTGCTCAGCGTTTCTGAAATTTCCTGGATGTCCAGAGCATAGCCCGTGTTTGCATGGCACCGCCGGGCATGACTACAATAGAAACTTGACGAAACGTTGCTCGTCGCGTTTGGGCTCCGGGCAGTGTCGAAGGAACATGGTGCGAGCAATCTGTGCTGCAACGCCCGCTGCCCGTGGCATATGCTGCACGCGCAAAAGCGCTATGGATGCGCGTCCTGCAAAATATTGACAGAGATATCGCTTGCCCAGGAGTGCCAGAACGAGCTACAATCGAAGTGCGTCAACGCGCGCATCGACTTGTCCACCCGCACGCAGAGTTGCAATCGGACGAAATGGAGGCCGACATGGAGTTCGTTGAACGCTGGATGGAAGAGAGAGAGGGAGAGAGAGAGAGAGAGAGAGAGAGAGAGCGGGCTAGGCCCGGAGCTCATGGCACATCGATGCCCTCAAGCAAATGAATGAGCGTGATGAAGCTGAAAATGCTTTTCAGATGCAAATCGAAAATGGCTTCCGCACCTTCACTCTGTTTCCTGCCCACTGAGGTCAGGATCACGACGATGCCAACGCAATCTTCGAGTTCGATCTACACAGCTTTGTCATTGCGGTCATCGTGGCGGAAAACTTGATTGATCCATGCGGGTTCGCGCTCTAACCCATGGTGCGACGCTGAGCAGGCGGCGTTCAAGACTACAGAGTGCAGCAACTGATTGTAAACGGGCAGTAGACTGCTACAAAAGAGAAAAAGCTGCGTGAAAAGCAGCGCTATCAAACGAAACACTGAAAACGCGGAACTAAAGAAGGTGATGCGCACAGGTTTAGAGCTACCATTTGAATTGAATTTGCCAACAATCATCCTTGGAAAACTTTAAATGCAATATATCATTCAAAGCTTGTCAGAAGTCAAGCCAAGATTGAAACAGAATAGCTGTTTCAAGGGCAGTTTGACCTTGTGATTTTCAATTCTGGCTTTAATTTCCCGGCGCTCCAAAACGGCCAGGTCCAATCCGGGTTTGCGCGCTGGGCATGGCTGCAAGCTTGTTCTGTTGCTGGCGGTGTCGGACTGTGCAAGGCACAAGGAACAAGCAGCATTGCAGGCAAACCAATGTTGGACTTTCTGGCCCAAAAATGGCATGATCAGCATGCAGAAAGACAAAATCAGCAAAGAGAAACTGCACAGAAAGGGCGGCCAAAGAAAAATGACAGAGCCAGACCAGCAAAGAAACCAAACAGAAAGCAATCGAAACCGAAAGCGCAGGCACAGAAAAACAGGATCACGATTACACCAGCATCGACCCCAAACAGCAGCGGCAGTTGGAGTCTTCTTTTTTTGGACGATCCATTCCTGGCGGCAAATCTCCGCCCGACATGCCATGGGAGACAAGGGGCGACAAGGAGAGACAAAGAAAGTGATCCCAGCCCAGCATCCAGACACGCCATGGGAGACAAGGGGAGACGAAGGGAGACAAAGCAAAATCATCTCAGCCCAGCATCCAGACATGTTATGGGAGACAAGGGGAGACAAGGAGAGACAAAGCAAGCTGATCTCAGCATCCAGACATGCCATGGGAGACAAAGGGGGACAGAACAAAATCATCTCAGCCCAGCATCCAGACACGCCATGGGAGACAAGGGGAGACAAAGGGCGGGAATCATCTTGGCCCGGCCTCGTTTCTATGCAGGAATTGAGAACCCCTCACAGCAAAGCTGTTTGGGGAAAAAAGGAGCCACGGGTTAGGACCAGCAAAGACACCAGACAGAAGAGTGCGACCAGGAAACCACAGGAAAATCAAAAAAGAAACCACAGGCAGAGAAAGACACAGGATCAGAAACCAAAGAGAAATTGCTCAGGAACGGCAAATCAGCAAAGAGAAATCCCTCACAAAGAGAAACCACACTGAAAGGCTAGGTCAAATGAAAGAACATGAAAGAACCACTAAAACATCAGCAAATAGAAACACAGAAAAGGCAGAAACTGTAAAGAGGGCAGAATCAACAAAGAAAAGGACCAACAAAGAGAGAAACTTTACAGAAAGGGCGGGATCAACAAAGAGAAAGTACACAGACGAAGCACCCAACCCCACCAAACTTGAAGACCAGGCAACCACCAAAACATGAAGACTACAACCCGAACTTGAAAACAGGACCCAACCAATCACCCTATTTGAAAGTTCCAACCAATCCACGCCAGGATGGCACGATCGAAATGGACGGGGGATTCTGGACACGCTGTTTCAGCAAAAGTAGGTTCCACTCGTGACATTTGACAAATTCGTCTAAGTCTATGCCAAACGAATGACCGTAAAGGAGGTCAGTGAGTTCTGAGATACCCTTGGATTCCCAGACTGGCACTTTCCGATTCACGTCAGTTTTCCTCACTTGACACCCAGTACCCAGCTCAGTTTGCGCAATCATTTTGCCAGAACCGGTCAGGCAGTTTTTCGATGATCGCAATCTAGAGCCGAAGTACCATGCCGAATTCTATACTGATGGCACATGCAACAACCAAAGGAGCCCAACTGCTGCCGTGCGGTGTGGGCCGTAGATTGGAAAGTGTCCCGCAACATTGGCCCCCTGCACAACGTTTAAACCGATGTTTTTGGGAAGACAGACCTCCCATGTTCGTGGTTCAACCGATGACACTTGGACTCTTCCAACAGATATTATCAGACGTGCGCTGCTCAATCACCGGTTGCGAAACTGCAGATCCCCTAAAAGAGCCTGAAGCAGCAGGCAGCCAACACCATAGTACAGTTTCGAGCAGACAAAAAAACTGGAGGGAGTCTCACCATTGCAGCTGGGTGTTTATCGCAGCCTAGTCTGCAGGGCACCTGCAAGACCAAGTTTAATTGATGATTGTCACGCTTGCTCGGCGACGGAGGGCCTAATACTGTAGTCTTCATCTCGAAGGTGTGAAATACATCGTTGCACGCTCCACTTATTCGCGATTAGGTGAACTATGATAAAAGCAATCAAAACTGTCAGGAAAGGACTTTCACTTGATAATTACGGAGTCAGCTCATCCTTCAGTGTGATGGAAAAACCTCGGGCCCACAATGACATGTCGCTCTTGCCGCCAGACTATTTGGAAAGCCTGTTCTTGACCAAAGAGCCGTCTTTGGAAGGCAAGTATCAGCCGCTTGGCACTGTTGCTTTCCCACACCAAACAGATATGTGAAAATTGGAAGGCGGTCTTACAAAGTGGTCACTTGATTGATCAACACGCTTTTAATTTTGGAAGGCTTGTCAGGAAATTAAGTATGCAATATGTGATATGTGGATATATGTAACGGTTTGGTAAGAGTTGCCTCATTTGCATATTAGAAAGAACCCTTTCTTCAATTGGTGTGGGTCTTTTGTTTTTCTGAGGATCCGCCTTTTCCGCTTTTGGCCATCAGATGAGCCTTGGGAAGACAAGGAGTGGCTAACTGTGACCATTGACGACTACTTGCCCTGCAAACCCGGCCGCAGCAACCAGCCAATGATGACGAGGGAATTGTTGTATGGAAGGCTGAACATGGGCAACCTGGCGCAGAAGCTTGTGTGTAAGGCTTGCCTAAGGCTTGCTCCAATCCAACAAGTCACACATCAATGATGTGTGCGGATAGGTCGGAATTCGCAGCTCATTTTGTGTGACGTTGCCTTTCTCAGGCAAAATGTGGGTGCCATTGCTGGAAAAGGCTTTCGTGAAGTATTGGCATAAGCACAGCTACAAGAGCCCCTTGTTCTCCATGTCGGGGATGTTTACAAAAATGATCAAGAAAGAACTTGCTGAAAGCGGGCAGTGTAGGTTTGCCAGCTTTGCCAAAAGGTTTGAATTTGTAATCTTTCATAAAGAATGAAGTAGCTGATGCGAATCTTCCAGAATCCAAAAACTTTTGGGTCCACCACCTCTGCCAGCAAGTGGTCGAGAAGGCTGACATTTTGTTCCCGAAAGCTTAGCGGCCTAGTGAAGCAGGGCCGTGCGCCTTTCGAGGCTTTGTGGGATCGATTCCCGAGATGGCCGGGCACCAAGTCGACAGGACGGCATCCGGAGGACATTAATTCTAGCAGAAGTAATTCTACCAGAAATACTAATCTAGTATCAATTGCTTTACGCCTTACTCTTGTTTTGTGAACTTGATTGAACTCGAGGCCTGGCAAGCTCTGACAGGGCAGAAAACCGGCTACATGATCTATGGAGCTCCGCACAAACCTGAGCGACCCAAATGGCAGCTAACGGAAGACGTTGAGGCGAAGATGAATTGCAAGCGACAAGCGTGAAAAAGTAGAGATTAGTTGAAGAGGGCTGAAGCAAGAAGCAACAATCACACAAAATAGCCACAAAAGACCGTCACAAGCTCAATAACGTGTGGTTTGTCTTCTGTGTGAAGGTTTTGAGTTAAAGTTTCGAGTTTGACAGCTTGATGGTTCAGGTGGTGAAAGATCCTGAGGATGATTTCGTCATCGGCAGCTTAAAATGTGGGGCGACAGTTCAGGAAGTAGAAAGAACCCTGGCACAGCGGTACCGCAAGTGAAATGGTGGTACCGGCTTTCTTTGTTGAGGGGAAGGCCGGCAAGGTTTTCATTGCTGACCTTCTCTCAGGATGCTTCTCTTATTTGAAGTTTGAGAAGATTGATGGTGATGGGCCAGATGAAGGTTGGATGCCATACTACGTAAAGGGAAAGAAGGCGCGAGAACATCCAACACGACTACTTTGCTCCAGTTCATGTGGCCGAAAGTGTGGGATCGGCTGCTTGAGAGCTCGTCTAGAGTTTGAGGATTAACAGGACTCGTTGGTCTTGCTATTCAATGAATCATTATATAAATGGGTTTATAATGCATCGGGGATGTCAGACACCAAGTTTGCGCTTTGCGGTGGGAAGTTTGCGCCTATTTGAACGGAACTCGGGCAGCCTGAATGCTTTGTCTCAGGCTCGTGTAGCCAGTAACATTGTAAAGTGAGAAGGGTGCAGCTTACTGTGGAAATATAGACAGGGTAGCTTTGGCGGAAAAGAATATCATCAAAAAGTATAGATATGTTGTCGTGAAAAAGGAAAGAAGCGAAAAATACAAGCAAGAGCTCACCAGACCACATTGCATTTCACCATGCCGCTTCACCGCATCACAAAACAGCACATGACGCTACCACATGGCAAAACATCACATTACACTTCGCCACATCAGAAGTTGTGAGCACATGATGCAAAGAAGCGAACAAACAATAGATTCAATAGATTTGAATGAAAAACACGTTACGCAAGTGAGCAACGAGTTGATCACAACCTTCTTCTTGTTGATCTTTCTTGCCGCTGCAAGCGAGGCAGCGCCAATCATGGTCATGTCAATTCTAGCGGGCTGTCTATGCCTCGCACTGTGACCAACAGCGCTGCGCCTGCAAGCCATTCGTGCACAGAGATGTTGGGTCAGCAAGTGCCTGAAAAGCCAGTGCACACAATGAGGGCACCGATACTTTTGGACAGATTATCATTCATTTGCATAGGTAGGTCAATAGGTAAGCAGGTGTATGTAATCTTATGCGCTCATGTGTGTATGTACTGTAAAGTATTCTATTGTATTGTATTGTATGTATGTATTTATGTATGTAGGCAATGTATGGCAATTGGTAATGTAAATGTATACTTGTCATGACCTGAAGCCGAGTGGTCAGCTCCCCTGCGCTCTCTCCCCCGCCCTGCCTCTTGTCATGCTAAAATTGAGCTTGCGTGAGCAGCAAAAGCCCAGGCAGCCAATCTTGCAAACCTGAAGAATTGCTGTTCTTGTTGTTTTGTGTTCACTCACCAGGCGGCTCGCGTAGCCAGTCCGATCCAGTTCGCAGATATTAATCATTTCTGTTAGCATTATGGTACACAGGACAATCCAAAGATATGACTACAGATAACCCCAAGAGAGAGAGAGAGCGCGCGCGAGAGCGAGAGCGATGATATTAGTCATGCTTGTGGCAAAGGTTGACCATCCATGTAACCCCTACGTAAACGAAGCCAGCAACCCCACCATGGCAGGCGTGAGCTGGTGCCAGCATGCGCCGGCCTTTTTCAAGGATCCTGTTAGGCCCACCCACCAACCGTAGTTGGACGTAGCTAGGCACAGTCACAAAGTGCTGCTCCCTTAGGTTACAATTCTTCAGGAATATTTGTAAGGAAAGGCTCACAGAATGATTTCGAGGACACCTGCAAACATATGGCGGAGGTCATCACGGAATAATAATTAATCACCTTGAACCTCTACTACCTCGGAACAGTTGTTTGAGGATGTGCAAGGGAGCTTCAACATTTTGCAACATCCCCGCAGCATGTTTCCCAAGTTCATTCCAATGCCTTGGGGGGACTACGACTGTTGTTTGACAAAGTCGTCCCCCCAAAGCAGGTTTTATCAGAAATGGTTGCGGGAGAGGATATTGCAGAAGTCGTTTTTTAGAAAACACAGGGGAATGCTTTTGATGGATTAATAAACAAAATAGTCCAGGGTGACACACACTGGGGAATGAGTCTTGAAGTTGCAGCATTAGGATGACGACAAAGCCCAGAACCTCCTAAGCGTGTGTCCTTGGGCACCCGAAGAACCGAGCAAAGTCGGCGACACCATCGAGTAATGCATTAGCCCTTTACAACGTGTCTGCGGAAAGCAACTAGCCCTGAACCATACATCTCGGCAAATGTTAAAAGTCAAGCAGGTACGTGGATTCTGCATCCAGAATCCATATCAGTGACTTGTAACAGCCTCTTCGTTGGACTGCCACTGTTACAAGCCAGGCAGCCCCCCTACTCTCAAAAGTCGATACAATTTAAAGAAACTCGTCAACCGCGTGTAAGAGCGGGTTACACACACATGGCCCTCCCTGTGGGGGGCTCAGACTTCATGAGTGGGCCTATGCATCTGTGATTCTAGTGGCCCGAAATTCCAACAGGCCAACGCCGAATACGGTCCAAGCTGGTGGGTCTCGTTAGCATCCTTAGAAACCGCAGAAATGAGTGCCTTGGTTCGATCGGATCTCAAGTCTGCAGAGAAACCCAAAGGATCCTGGTGGTCTTAAACGGAAGTGAGGCCAAAAGCTCAAGC